AAAACATAGCCACGACATTGGTACGGGCATGAAAAGGAGGGGAAGAACGGTATGAAAGTTCCCTTCCTCTTGGCTGGTTGGGTTTGGAGCTTCCTCCATATCAGCACTCCTAACCAACAAATTTGAAGATTTGCAGGCTCGATTTACAATGACCTCCAAAAATTACGAAGGTTGGTGCCGGTATTGTGACTTTGCTAGACATATTTCCTGGGCTCTTGGTTGGTCGTCTGCGATGTAGTCGGAGTGACTTACTCAGGAGAGGTGACGACGTTGACACCTTGCAGGCATCCTCGACAATGTTTCTCTTTTCGGTGATGTGTCTTGTTGGTAGCCAGGTCAGCCAGAATGCCCTATCTTGTAGGCACGATGTAATGATTTTCCACAAATTAACCGAGCAAACTCTCTTTCTTTTTTTAATAATAAACCGAGATCCTCTAGAGCAGATTTCAAAATAGAAAAGTGCACACACACAAGATAGCTAATATGTCTTTATCAAATTGGGTCCATAGCTCAGTGGTAGAGCAACTGACTGCAGATCAATAGGTCACCGGTTCAAACCCGGTTGGGCCCTCCCTAATTTCAATTTCATTTTTGTCACATAGACATTATATGGTCACGTGGTACCTTTTTTAGAATACAGGAGTATATTTTATTTTTCATTTAAACTGGAATTCAAAATGCATATCGAAACGCGCTTATTTTTTCTTAAAACTAACTTCTTCAAATAAACATTATATGGTCATGTGGTATTCTTTTCGTGGAATACATCTTGTTTTCTATTTTTTTTAAGTTTCACTTCAAAATGCATCTGAAACGCGCTTAATTCATTATTAGAAATCCGGTCAATTACAGCACAAGCAACGTGAGTTCAGTCCAAACTAAATACTAGACTCGTGTCTAAGAAAGCGATTGAAAAATAAGAAAGCGATTGAGCCAAAGGTAGGAGCATCTATGGGTGGGCATAAGTTGGAACCCGGTTCTAATACGAGAACCGAGTCTAGTCATTTTTTCCCTAGCCCATGTATTCTGTACTTGGGTTAAGAGATTTCTTATCACTAGGTATTGACCCAACGTTGGTCATGTTCTTGTGCTTCTTTCATCATCGTTGAAAGACACCAACAACATGATGACTTTGCCGGCTATCCTAGTGTAATTGTTTTTTTTTTTGGAATATCCTAGTGTAATTGTTGAGGCAATAAAGTTAAACACTGTCATAAAAAAAGTTAAAACACTACCAGTGTGCCTACAGTGCTCTGGCCCTAGTCTTTATTAGATCCATCGCTCGATGTGAGGGTCTTGGTATGTCTTTTTTCAATAAGCCGTGTTTTGTAGAGTGTTTCGACTCGGTTGTCCTTATTAGCTGATCCAACTTTTTCTATCTTCAATGAATTGCACGAGCACCCTTGCCCTACGAGGGATGTTCCTAAAGGAATACAGAAAACCAAACTCTTCAATTAGGGCCTCTCTGATTCACAGGATTCTCGAAATGAAGAAACAGAGTGCCATGTCCTCTTGTATCCTACAGGATAACAAAAATACAGAAATATGGATGAAAGAATATTTGATAGCACACGAAAAACAAAGAAATTCTACCGATAGGTTTGAGTCGACGTAAAATTTTCTCCAAATGTAGTACAAATGGATCGTATGAAAAAATTTCTAAGGATTTCAATCCTGCGAATCAAACGACCACCATAGGAAAAAAAATCTAATGATTAAATTCCTCCAATTTTTTTTATGAAATTCCATTGAATCAAAGGAGCCCTTAGTACTCCTTTAGTTTTGTACCTAATCCAAAAGAAAACCTCTCTCCAAGTTTTCAAACCAAGCACAGAATGATGTCCAGGTGAACAAGTTTGGTCCACCGAGACTACATCAAACCAAATCTCTAGCAGAAAATGACTGGGACAATACTGCCATCACCAAGGTCTAACAAAAACACACCGCACTGTGTCACCCACTCAGATAGGGATTTCAGATTAACCAAAAGAAAAGTTACACCTAAGATCAGCTGATACGTTTGCAGTTGCAGGTCAATGTGCAGAGCAAGGACAAGAACCACAACATCAGCTTTTGCTTATACGCACATTGTTCAAGTAAAAGAAGAATACATTCCATGAATCAGTTGCTGGGAAGAAGTAAAATCAATCATACTATCGTTGATAACTTCACTCTTCAAACAGTTAAGTAAATTTTTTAACGAATGGGTCCATAGCTCAGTGGTAGAGCAATTGACTGCAGATCAATAGGTCACCGGTTCGAACCCGGTTGGGCCCTCTCTGTTTATTTTTAATTTATTTTCAGACTAACTTCATCAAATAAACATGAGACATTCATGTGGTTTGCCTCTTGTTTTTGTTTCTCATATTTTAGAAATCTCATTTCTTCAAATAGACATGGTAATGGTCTTCTTTTTATAGAGTATCTCTTGTTTTTTTTCAGTCTCAATTCTTCAAATGAACATGATATGGTCATGTGTTCTTTCTTTTGGCCCGCAGCTCCGTAACATGCATCCAAAACACGCTTACATCATTATTGAAAAATCCACCCTTGAGGAACCTTTTTCGAGTAATGTATTAGAACATGTGCAATGTGAGTCAAGTCCAAGAAAAATAGTTCTAGACTCCAAACCTAAAAAATGAATGAATTGTGCAACAACTGAGCTGAAGGTAGAAACGCAAGCTTCGCGTATTTCCGAAGAAAAAAACTGCATGCTGAAATGGCTTCAACACAAGTTCAGTTGCTTCTAAGATCTCCAAAGCACCAAATTTTGATGATAAAGGTTCCTCGCAAGACAGGAAGATAAAGAAACATCATGCTCTTATGCTCCTTATCTTCCTGTCGGTGTTGGAAGACTTTGAGTTACACTTATTAATTCAAATCAGATATCTAGCAGAAAATGACTGCGACGATACCAATGCCGGAAGAAAAAACTAGACTGGAATACACTGGCCTAGGGATTTCAGAAGAACAAAAAGTAAGCTGCACATCAGATCAGCTGCAGAAAACAGCAGAAGGATGTGCTCTCTTCTGGCACGGCAGCCACAACATCGGCGTTTGCTTATATGCATACTGTTCTATAAAACAAGAATACACCCCATGAATCAGTTGCTGGAAAGAAAGTAAAAATCAATCAATCATATTATCTTTGAGGGTTTGACCCCTCCAGAGTAAGTAATGTAATGTTTGCCATTAATTCTGTGTGAGCTGAAAGTTCGTAATGGCTCCGGTGACTAGTACGAAAAAAACATCAGAGGAAACTCCTCGTAAAAAATATTAACATTCGTGAACTTTGATATGCCCATGATCAGAGTCAGTGCCCAAAACAAAGAGAAGGGAGCATAGAGAACGAATGAAATAGGAAACGAAAATATTTTAAGCACAATGGGTCCATAGCTCAGTGGTAGAGCAATTGACTGCAGATCAATAGGTCACCGGTTCGAACCCGGTTGGGCCCTATCCTACTTTCGCCTTTTTTTCTATTTTTTCTTTTTTTGTTGCTTTCTTCAATTAAAATTAGCAATGATCATATCCCGAGTTTATTCAATAATTTTCATCTCTTATATTGTGATCAACGATGCAGTACTTCTGATGAACAAGCTGGAAAAACATTTAATGGTCATACGATCTTGTAGGAAATAACCTCCGTTCATAACACATATTTGAAAATGGGCGTGGCTAGTAAGTCTCATCTAACCGATATAGTTATAAAAAAACAATCAAGCATTAAAAAATATCGCACGAAACTCCCCGTAAAATGGAATGGCATGAGAGTTAGATGAGATTTTGTTAATTCTCATCCAGATGGGCACTAGCAAATCAGCTTGAAATTCATTCATTTTAAGTCAACATTTAATGTATACTATGACTTATTTATCTCGCCCGCTGAAGACTTGTTGATTTTGTTACAGCACGTCAGATGTTTGTATAAGTAGGGGCATATAAGAAGTTGAAAACCTAGCATCGGTCATCGAGAAATCCAGGTGTGATGAACTATGTGTGTTGTGCATATTTTATAGTTTACCATTGAAAATTTGGCCGTAAAAGTAGTAAAAGATTTAAACAAACACTAAAAACAGAAAAGCAAGTTCCGTCTTGTTCACAGAAAACACCAAACGATTCTAGAGCATTTTCTTTTCAAACCAAGCACAAGATGATCTCCATGCCAAAATGTTTGGACAACCGATTACACTACACCAAATCTCTAGGACACGTCACCAAAGTCCAAAACTTGCACGGACGAAACACTGCATTGGATGCACCACTTATCTAGGGATTTCAGAGGAACAAAGAAGAGATATATGCATGAGATCAGGCTGGTTCCTTTGCAGTTGCAGGTCAGCTGATTCCTTCGCGGTTGCGGGTCAAATTCGCAGAAGCAAGGACAACAGCCACATCGGAGAAGTTTGCATACAGTTCAACAAAGTAATAACACACTCCATGACCCAGTTGTTGGAAAGAAACAAAATGGATCATCTTATCTTGGAGCCCTCCAGCTCCAGGTTAATGTTTGTCAGAACATTTTCTGTATGACCTGAAATTTCATAATAGCTTTGGTAACTAGTACAAAAGAACATCGGCGGAAAACTCCTCATAGTCAAAATTAACACTCATGAACTTTGACATACCCATGATAAGAGTCAGAGCCCTAAACAAAGAGAAGGGGGAATGGAGAGTGAAATGAAATGGATTTTTTTGTTTTTGAAAAGAAAATGAAATACAACAATAACTGGAAGTGGCAATCGAGCAGAGCAGAATGGCTGCTCATGTGGCGTCTCTTCTCTCCGAACTCGGATGCCTTGAATTTCTTTCTCAGCTTTATTCTGTTATGGAATCTGGTTATAGACACTCGACGTGTAGCTCTGCTTGTACCTAAAGTGAATAATCAGTAGTAAGCAGGAGGAACTTGGGTCAGCTGTACAAAGTCATGGTGTCACCGGGTTAACGCTATGCTATCAGGTCAGCATCAATACTCATTTGCAATGCTTTTCCGGGTATCATCAGGAAACATCTCTTAATCTCCCCATGGAACTGGAACCGACGCATTCTTGGGGATTAGCATAGAAGTAGTCCTCTTCCTTGGGCCGGCCAGGGATGGCCCTTCTGTCTGTGGGTTGGCCCATGCGATACTGGTGCGCCTCCTTCACAGCCGCAGAGAATTCATCCCAGGACAATGAACCTCCTTGGAAATGATCCAAAAGTTCAACAAGTTTTGTCCTGTCCAATAAGATGGTCTTGCGAAAGCCACTATACCTAAAACAGAACAGCCAAAAGGTTCATCAGCATAACCCCAAAGTAGTTCTGTTGCCATTAGAAAGCAGACAAACTTATGTTTGTTTCTGATAATCAAAAGAGCACGCAAACTCAAACATTTCTTAACTAATGTAAACATCAACAAAATATTCCGGAGAAGCCAACCTGCGGTGACCTTCGACAAGTCTTGCCATATTTCCATCATAACTGGGGATGAAAACATTGCTTGCTATCGAAACCATGTAGTCCAGTGCTGCCATCTGGGTCGAATGGTTCTGGAATGGCCACAATTCATTGGAAGATAACAGTTTTTCCTTTCTAACCTATTATTAGACAAAGCTGAGAAAATTAACACATGTCTCAGAGAACATTGTAAATGAAAATAGTAAATGGAAGAAGCACTCACCAAATTCGGATAGGCAGCCTTAAGAGCAGCCAACCGTCTTTCACCTCCATAGATTTCACCAGAGGCAATATATATCAACGTATCCTTTGAAAACCCTAGAGCTTTAAGCACTAGAGCAATTTCCTCAGGTGTGAGGGGACAAAGTCCCTGAAGCCTCTTGGTTTCAGAATCGATTTCCTTTTCTTTCCACCATGGATATGCATATCTATAGTTCATAAGTTGATCAGTTGGTTCCTACTGAAGCAGCACATCTATAACACCAAGTAGTAATGCAAAATACGAACCTCATTCTGGTGAGCTCCTCAGTTTCTTTATCGGAACAGCCATGTGTGCAGCCTGAAAAGGAGAGCATGTCCATTTCATAACGCAAGTGAAGCACAACAAATTCCCCACTTCGTTGAAGGGTGGAGATAAGTTTTCTGCCAAGGGCCTCAATCTGTGGAGTGAATCTCAAAGCCTCAAAGTTGACACGGCAGCGCAGCATTTGGAGATGGATAGGAATGCCATTGTTTGCTAGCCGGGCATCCGTTTTATTGAAATGGATCACCTTGTGCTTCCTTGCAAGAGGTAATACCTGCAGCAGAGAAGCTTTCAGGTCCACATGATTTTGAGATTTCCTAACTTTTCTATCACTACTAAATGCAGCGTGCAGTAAGACAGACATTATTTACCCGCTTTAGGTAGTATGTATCGTTTGACCAGCTGATAGGAGGCATCGAATAAAGTCTTCTCCTAGTTTTTAGCTGGAGTTTCAACGGTAGTGCTTTGACAATTTTTAGTTCGTCTCTTAACGAATTAATGAAGTGGTTCACATCAAATATATCTCCAAAATCACTGCAAAGTCAAAATAACAAACTTATTTTGTAATTAAGCAACAAACAATCATGAACATATTTCACAAGGAAAAATGATCCTATTTTACTCTGAGATAAGGGGATGAATGACATTTACAATAGCACAAGGTAATAGCACATGTTTATGTGTTTCCAGGAAGCAATTTTGGACAAACAGCTCGTGTTTGATGTTATAGAAACAGTGTTATATGGGAAATTATACCTTGGATCAGCCCAGAAAGACCTTTTATCCAGTTCAGGGAGCACTAATGTTAGATTCAGATGGCGTGCTATGGTCACCATATCACATATCTGCAGCACACCATTTCATAAGAAAATTAGAATCACGGCATGTACCCAAACTACGGAGCAAAAAAATAATCTCTTCTAGCTAAGGTACAAACCCCGGCTCGCATTTGATTAAGGCCTCCGTTGCAAGTTACTAGCAGATAGCCATTGCTTCTATAAACTCCTGCATAAAAAAACAAGACCCTAATCAGCGCCAGTTCGCAGTGCCAAGTGCCAACAAAAGGACTGAGACAACAAGATATGTCAAATGTCATTGTTTGGTGACTTTGTAACAAACGATGCAATCAGTGAGGCTGTATGCATCAATGATGCAGAGTCCGGGGGTAATAAAAGCTTCCATTATAAATAAATAAAAATGCATCACTGGATGGAAGCTGCTTGCGTGTTGCGAAATACTCTGTATCATTTGTTATTTTTCAGCAACATAAAGCAGCAAAGGCTCATCTTAATCAGAGGCCAGAGCTAGCTCGGCACATCGAGCGCGCCTTAAGATCGGATGTTCCAGTGATGTCATGCTTACAAATCAGCTCTCAAGATAGCATATGAGCAGCACAGGAAAGGAAATGAAGATTGAGGTATGAACACACATTCAGGTCCAGGTTCAGAACAGCCTCTACAAAAACGCAACCACAAATTCAGAACGCTTGCAGCCCCAATGCGACCTGAAGATCCCACGACGGCACAAAATTGGCCTCAGAATCGCCATTTCGAGCTTGCGATCGAGCCGAATCGTCAGAAGAGACGGCGTCGTTGACCACAGAACTGCCGCGTTTGACTCGAGCTCCGCCCAAATCCAGGAACCACCAGCTCGCCCAGATCGCGCAGACTAATTCCACGGAAGGGCAGGGGGAAGCTTCGGATGGGAGCAAGAGGAAGAGGAGGAGGAAGAAGAGAGCACTTACTCCTGGGCACGAGCGCCGGAGGGGAGAGCCGCGCGGCGACCCGGTCCTCGCCGGCGAGCGCGGCCAGGCCGGCCGAGGCGCCCCCGGAGCCGGAGCCGCCCCAGCAGTCCGCGAAGACCCTGGGGCGCCAGAGGCCGGTGATGGACGCCAGCTGCAGGACCGCCGTCCACATCACCGCGCTGGCCACCGCGCGCATGGCCCACCGCCACACCCGCCTCCGCCGCGCCGCCGCCATGGCCACGACCATCTCCCCACCACCTCCCCCGCCGCACGCACCGCTTCTTTCTCCCGACCCCTACGCCCTCGCCTCTCTCACCTCCACCTAACCGCCACCTAGTACCACCACCACTGCCGCTACCACCAGGGGCACCAGCGGCGGGAGGCGAAGGATTAGAGCGGGAGGCGACGGCGTTTATGGGGGGATTAACTACGCCGCCGGGAGCTAGTAATGGCCCCCGTGATTAGTTCAGAACGGCAGCCATTAATAGTCGCTGCAATTGCAAAAAGCTTCGAGCTTTTCGTAGGAAGAGAAGAGATGGAGGGCGAAATGGGACAGGGAGGCGGGTAGGCAGGACGTTAGCATTTGGAGGATACCGGAGGGCCTCCTCCGGTTGGTGGTGGACTAGTGAGTGCTAACCCTGAAACGCGGCAATTATTAATATTCTAATCTCAGTTAATTACTGAAAAAAAATCTTCGGTTCCCTCGAAATGCTGAAATCTCCGAGATACTAGATAAGTAGAAATTTGATCATTAATTTGTGGTCAGCTAAAATATCCATGGGAACTAATAAAACCAAGCGTTGGATAAGTGCTTCTCAAGGTAAATTCGCCTATTTTAATTTAGAAGTGTCGAAATATAAAATGATAAATATACATAAGATGCAACTTTGATCATTTATTCATACTACAATATTCCTAGTAAAATGTTCTAATAAATTACGCACTACATATTGGTATTCCTTGATCATATACAAGTACTTTTTTATTAAACACGACAATTAATCAATTAACTATTTTCCAATATTTCTTTGTTTATTAAATGCGGCAATCAATTAATTATTGTCAATCTTTCTTTGGTTGCTCCGGAATGCTGGAGATCGTCAAATTGCAAATTTGATCATTAATTTGTTCTCCATGATATATCTATGGTATCTAATCAAAGTACAGATACTTTTCAAGATAGTTTTTCCTACTACTTAATTTGGAAGTATCTTATCTTTAATTTACAAATAGTGGCCAAAATTGGAAAAGCTACATGTGTTCAACATGTGAGCTTTTAACCGTTCCTTGGGCATTGCTCGTTAGGCGTTTCCCCTTTTCCTTGTTGTTGTGCGAATTACTCCCTCCATCCCAAAATAAGTGTCGTGGTTTTAGTTCAAGCGACGGAGGGAGTGTAAGTTCTATACTCCATGATCTATACTAAAAGGCACAAACTAATTGGGGTATTTCTCATGCAAACCATCTGAAATTTTTAATCTACTCCTGCGTTTTAAAATATGTGTCGTGGTTTTAGTTCAATTTTGGATTAAAACCATGACACTTATTTTGGAGTGGAGGGAGTAGTTTTTATTGCTCATCCATTGATTACGGGGATATGTCGTACCTCTCTTAATCACTCGTACACTTATGTGCTCTTAATTGTATGCAATATCTCATAATTAATGACTCTCATGGTATTTTATTTGGCATACATGGGAATTATTTATGTTCTTACAAAAAATATTGCATTATATTTAAAAAGATTTTTCCATGTCTTTGCGCCCAGCATGTGCTTGTTACTTGAATTATTTTAGAAAATTGTATTAGAATTTAACCAGAAATTAATTATTGTGTGCATCAGTCCATGCAAAAAGACCTTAGGGCTTTCCTCCTTCTTGGAAAAAAATGAATTTAACAAGAAACATTGTGATGATTGATATATGCAAGTTCGTAATTCTTGAGCCTATAATATGATTAATATTAAAAGTACACGTTCTTGCAGTTTTATTCCGATATTGTAGATGGCGAAACATGTACATAGACAAAAAATCATGTTTCAGTTATATTACTTCAACGCACTTTGCATGTCCATGGTTGCTAGTATGTTAAGTTCGGTATAGTACCCTTTTATGTATATATTTTTCTAATACCAATGTCATCTTCAGTGTACACATTTGGCCGTTACTTTTTTATTTGCATGTTGATAGAAAATACAATATAGCATATAATCATATGAAAAGTACAATGTTAAAATTAATAACGAGCGTTAAGTCTGCAAACAAATGTAGGAGCTAAACCGTTTGTCTCCCAACCCTAGCAAGAGGTGATCTTGCCCACCACCACCGCACCCCACCACCCCCACCGCCGCCCCTCCTCCTCCTTCTCCTCCTCCTCCGTGTAGTTTCGGAGCGTCAGGAGGCCCCGATCTACTAGATGGACATGTGGTATCTCCAGTTTGGGGATTTTAAGTATGCCTTTGTTTTCCGCCGCTTCAGCCCTTTTCGACAAATGGTGATGGTGGCGACCCCAATTTGTAGTGGGCTAGTGAGTGTTAACCTTTATAACTTTCAAATGTTGAAATATAATAAAACTACTTATTGGATATAAAATACTTTCAAGATAAATTCAACTTACAAGTGTCTAATCTATATACACCTAAGATCAAACTTTGGTCATTGATCTGTATTACACCCACCATTCGATTTTATTAGCCCGCCTCTTACTTTGGGCTAAATTTTGACCTATAAATTTAACTAATAAAATGTAAACTATATGTCACAAAAATTATATCATGGAAAACCTTTTTGAAATACAAATCCAACATATAGTTTGTGTAGCAGATATATTTATTAATAATATAGATGGTTAAATTCTGGCTCAAAATATGAGAGGGCCCAACTCTTAGTAAAAAAATATACTCCCTATAGAACTTGATATAAGACGGTTTTTGACAATGTCATAGACTCTAATAACGTCCTATCAAAATTTACAGAGGTAGTGGATTCTAACAAATTAACGCATACTGCTCCTTGATCAATTACAATTAGTTTTCAAGTTAAACTTGTTGGGGATCGTAACAGAAATTTAAAATTTTCTATGCATCACCAAAATCAATCTATGGAGTAATCTAGCAACGAGAGAGAGGGGAGTGCATCTACATACCTTTGTAGATCGCTAAGCGGAAGCGTTACAAGAACGCGGTTGGTGGAGTCGTACACGCAGCGATTAAGATCACGGTCGATTCCGATCTAAGCGCCGAATAACGGCGTCTCCACGTTCAACACACGTACAGCCCGGTGACGTCTCCCGCGCCTTGATCCAGCAAGGAGAGAGGGAGAGGTTGGGGAAGACTCCGTCCAGCAGCAGCACGACAGCGTGGTGGTGGTGGAGGAGCGCGGTATTCCAGCAGGGCTTCGCCAAGCACTACGAGAGACGAGGAGGGAGAGAGGTAGGGCTACGCCTTGGGAGAGAGAGACTCGTGTGTTGTGCAGCCCCAAAACCTCCACTATATATAGGGGCAAGGGCAAGGGGAGGCACCCTAGGGTTTCCCCTAGGGGGGCGGCGGCCAGGGCAGATGGGATCTCCCCCTTGGGTGACTTGGCCCCCAAGCCAGGAGGTGGGAACCCTAGATGGGGTGCCCCAAACCCCCTGGTCATGTGGGATTAGGTGAGGGGGGCGCACAGCCCCTTAGTGGGCTGGTTTGCCCCCTCCCCTTGGCCCATGAAGCCCCCCAACACTTGTCGGGGCTCCCGAAACACTTTTCGGTCATGCTGATCATCACCCAGTACCTCCGGAACACTTCCAGACTCCAAAACCCTTCGTCCAATATATCAATCTTCACCTCCGGACCATTCTGGAACTCCTCATGACGTCCGGGATCTCATCCGGGACTCCGAGCAACATTCGGTAACCGCATACATACTTTCCCTATAACCCTAGCATCATCGAACCTTAAGTGTGTAGACCCTACGGGCTCGGGAATAATGCAGACATGACCGAGACATCTCTCTGGTCAATAACCAACAGCGGGATCTGGATACCCATGTTGGCTCCCACATGTTCCACGATGATCTCATCGGATGAACCATGATGTCAAGGATTCAGTCAATCCCGTATACAATTCCCTTTGTCTACCGGTATAGTACTTGCCCGAGATTCGATCGTCGGTATCCCGATACCTTGTTTAATCTCGCTACCGGCAAGTCTCTTTACTCGTTCCGTAACACATCATCCCGTGATCAAGTCCTTGGTCACATTGTGCACATTATGATGATATCCTACCAAGTGGGCCCAGAGATACCTCTTCGTTTACACGGAGTGACAAATCCCAGTCTCGATTCGTGCCAACCCAACAGACACTTTCGGAGATACCCGTAGTGCACCTTTATAGCCACCCAGTTACGTTGTGGCGTTTGTACACCCAAAGCATTCCTACGGTATCCGGGAGTTGCACAATCTCATGGTCTAAGGAAATGATACTTGACATTAGAAAAGCTTTAGCAGATGAACTATACGATCTTGTGCTAGGATTAGGATTGGGTCTTGTCCATCACATCATTCTCCTAATGATGTGGTCCCGTTATCAATGGCATCCAATGTCCATGGTCAGGAAACCATGACCATCTATTGATCAACGAGCTAGTCAACTAGAGGCTTACTAGGGACATGTTGTGGTCTATGTATTCACACATGTATTACGGTTTCCGATTAATACAATTATAGCATGAACAATAGACAATTATCATGAACAAGGAAATACAATAATAACCATTTTATTATTGCCTCTAGGGCATATTTCCAACAGTCTCCCACTTGCACTAGAGTCAATAATCTAGTTCATCACTATGTGATTGCAATGAATCCAACACCCATGGGGTTTGTTCATATCTTGCTTGTGAGAGAGGTTTATTAGTCAATGAGTCTGAACCTTTTAGATCCATGTGTGCTTTACAAATCTCTATGTCATCTTGTAGATGCAGCTACCACGCGCTACTTGGAGCTATTCCAAATAACTGTTCTACTATACGAATCCGGTTTACTACTCAGAGTCATCCGGATTAGTGTCAAAGTTTGCATCAACGTAACCCTTTACGACGAACTCTTTTACCACCTCCATAATCGAGAAAAATCCTTAGTTCACTAGTTACTAAGGATAAGTTCGACCGTTGTCGTGTGATCCATTCCTGGATCACTCTTGTACCCCTTGACTAACTCATGGCAAGGCACACTTCAGGTGCGGTACACAGCATAGCATATTGTAGAGCCTAC